GCGATAGTGATGAGAGTCACGTTAATGCCGATCTACCTGCTATGCGAGATGAAGAGGAACCTATCAAGTTCTGGAGAGCGTGGCTTATTCCTGGCGTATTGATATTCGCTCTGACCTATGCATGTGTTAAGGGTGTAAACTACGCTATGTTCTTCTGGCTACCACTTTACTTGAACGAACATGCTGATATTCCTCCTGAGAAGGCCAACCTATTCGATATGCTGTACAACATAGGCACGGTATTTGGTTGTATCATCTGCGGTTGGGTATCAGATTACATGGCTAGGGTACAAGGATCAGGAAGATCTCCATCACTCTTTTTCTTTATTTTCTTGGCTTTGATCCCAGTATCTCTGCTGCATGTTGACGACCCCACAGTTGTCTATTTGAGCGTGATGTTGCTCCTGGCAGGCTTCCTGATTGGAGGTGCATCGAATCTTGTCGGTAGTGTGGTATGCACCGATATTGGTCGTCAAGATGCTCTCAAAGGTAACCGCAAAGCAGTGAGTCAAGTGACCGGTATCATCGATGGCACTGGTGCATGCGGAGCCGCTGTACAGCAGGGATTAGTCTCATGGATAGCTACCTATAGTTGGGACGGTGTTTTTATATTGCTACCTGTTTCTCTCGGACTCTCTTGCATTCTTCTTGGGACACGAGCCTATAAGGAGACTAAGGGATTCCTGAAGGGGTTTAGGTCTCCCAGGCAGCAGAGAGTTCCCACCGATGTATCTAAGTGAACATTTTTGAATATTTCTTTCTTCATGTTTCTTTTACTACTCAAACGTCTCTCCTGTGATATCAGTCGTACTCTAGTCCTCGCGTGATTGACTGTACCACTGAAGTCGATTTAATTTAATATCGTTTCACATCTCTTAGACCTCGAGTTGTAAATTGGTGCTTGTCCGTCTTGTATTTACGAGAGTAGACTTGGGTAGTTGTACTTGTACATTTTCTAGGATCAACTTTCCCGATAGAGTAGTCTATGCCACTGCAAGATTTGCCTAAGTAGGATCCACCCTTGCGAGAGGGGTGCCTATGCCACTGCACGATTTACCTAATTAGGATCAACCCTCGCGAGAGGGGTGCCTATGCCACTGCACGATTTGGCTAATTAGGATCAATGTTCGTAAGAGAGGCGCCTATGCCAGTACAAGATCTGCTTTATCAAGACTAATTTTTCAACTAGTTTCTATAGTTGGTGACTATGTCATTCCAAGGCCTGCCTCATTTTTCCTGAGAGGGGTTGTGACTGATGTTTGTCACTCTTGAACTCTCATGTATCCTCGTTGCAAGGCTCTCCTCCCGAGAGACTCAAGCCTATTTTTGTCGGCCGGTTCCGAAATAAAACAGGTAAGAAGAGTTTTTTATCTGAGCTTCATCTCATGACTGTGTGGACAACCTCGGAAGGATTCTGCACTCTTGTTGCAAGACTGCCTTTTCGCGAGTCTAAAGCCTATTTCCTCGGTTGGTTTCGGAGTGAGGTAGACAACACCGAAAATATGGTTACAACCGGTCCTTCCAGGCACAATTTTGCCTCGAATTTTGACAAATCCAGGATCCAAGGTCGATTGCACTGAGGGGCAGATACGCCACTCGATCCAGGAAGTGCACACTAATGATCGCATTTTCCCATCATTCAACTTCTATCCTTTCTCCCAAACATGAACAGTCATTTCTCTTTTCTCTCACTCACCCTGAGTCGATACAGCAGCAGTAGAGTGAATCGTTGTAACAAGACACGAACATTCATGGACAACACGATGTTCATACAACATAGGCGCATGTATATCAGGAAGCTACCGGCCGGCACCGGCTGCGGAGTCTCCCGTAGATCTAACGCTCAACATAGGGTCGGTTGACTCCGACCTTCGTCGGTCTGAGCTACTGGACCCTCCCTGGAACAACATGACATTTACTGAGAGCAACCACGCTGAGACAGCCTCCCACCTTCAGTAAAGGTTGGGAATCCTCCAAATCTAAGTCACAATCATGTTCCTCGTGGTCAATCACATGCTTTATCATGCCGCGGACCTGAAATTTATCAGATGCATTGCCGTTGGACGCCAAAGACAGCGTGATGCCTTACGATTTTGCCGAACCAATACAGCTGAAGACAATAACCGCCGCTAACGAGGGTTATGCAGAGAATAATCCGCCAGTTCATTCGACTGTTGATGGCCGAACTGTTCCAATGCACGAAGACGTGTACAATAGCGAGCAGTGGGAGGAGGACTGAAAAACGAACGTGCCCAAGGGACCGCAACGATATAATAGGCCACCCCGGAATAAGCCGAAGGTTATCGTCATAACCACGCCATTGGCTGCGTAAAGCTTGCCTCCAGTGATGCCTAGCTCTCTGAGAACATGGAGCAGGCACACGAAAGGACTAGACGCCTCCTGAACCAAGGAAAGGTATGAACTATCAAAGGAAGATGGAAGCTTGCCTGGAGGAGAAGGACGGCTGCAAGTAAAGAGAACACCCCTTCCGAGTAAAGAAGCCAAACAACAGCGAAAAATAGCACGTGATGACCGAGCATGACCTGATAGCATCAATTATCAATCGATCAGATTAAACTCAGTTCACCTTGTCGATGCTAGGTTGAAGGAAGACAACCCAGAGCATATCATACACACAATAGGCCGCGAAGGCGATATAGAAAGTCGAAGTATACCTGTAAGGAATGGTGACACCGGCAAAGGAGGCAATAGAGAACGTACTCAAGGAGGGGACCCACTATAAGGCGCGGGGAGGCTAGGCTCAGACCATCTGCTTTCAACTGTATGGCAAATACCGACACTCCAGTGATGCTGAGAAGGAGGATGAGAAGCGAATACAGCTGAGGGATGTCCTGACCTGAGAAAGGTGTTAGCTAAGCTAGTAAGATTGTTGGCCAAAAACGGCGTCATGGGTGTGAGATTGATGCTCGAAGGATTGGTGGCCCGAAGACCAGAGTTTAGGCATCCAATAGCACATACAAGGATGGAGTAGAGAATCTGAGGCGGACAAGTAAAGGTGGATGGGTAGGCATGCACTTACACACCACGCCGCAGTGAAGAGCATCAGGGATAGCCAAGGGTCGGAGATTCCTGGAGGAAGGAAGTGGACCGTGGCAACGTTCTGAGAGTAGGAGTATACGTGGGCTGAACTGGTAGCGCTCTTACCTGGTCACCACTTGAGCCCTCAAAAAGGTGCTCTACTGTAGGCCCTGGAGGTCCTACACCAAAGCTTTGCATTGAAGTTCACGAGGAGGAGGTGGAAGCCTCAATCGTAGTGAGAAAAAGATAAGGAATAGAATCACTGAAATCTAAGTGATCGGGAGAATACGACTATCGTAATCGATTTGTAACGTGTGTGTGTATTGCCTTGAGCATACCGACTCCTATGATAGCTGGAAGGCTTGACAGCTACTCCATAATGAAGAAAATGAAAAGAACGTAGGATCGATTTCACAGACGGCGAAATGCAGTAAAGTAGATTGCGCCTTCTATGGTGCCGGTAGATAAAACATCGTACAAATCTAGCCGCAGTTACTGTACTACCTGTGGCCTAAAGTCTCACATAGACAATCGATCACAGATACGATGAGATGATATTTCACATATTTCAAGCGCATCACAAGGGAAACGGGGGAAAGGCTTATGCCGTCGACCTTTCCTCGGTGACCATACTCGTAGCATGAATGCATGGGTGATGGCAAGCCTGGCAGCGGCAGTATCGATCTGACCAACACTGTCCAGTGATCCCCACGGAGCGACCTGGCACTGGTGCCAGCGGGGGAGATTAGTCGAGTTTCCCTACGACTTTCCGAGACGACGACCGACATTCAAGCTGCGTCGATCATAATGGCGAGCGAGAAATTTTTCGACTCGTCCAAAATTAGCAATATGATGGGTTGCGTACTTTTCTGTTACTCGAACGTGTTGGTTGGTTCAAAACTTCACCTCACATCGAATCTCATTTATATCAGCCATTTTCTGCTCCTACTTTCAATGGCTGAGGAGTTCGAACGTTTTAAGCGTTTCGAATACAAGGAGAACAGTAACTTGGTCCTTCAGAGGGACCCGGGTGGAGGCAGTCATCTGGCTAATGAGCCTACTGGTACTATAGGGCATCTCTAGGTCCGCCTATGATAACACATTCAACTGCTCGAGCGGTATGAGTGACAACGTCATGTTTTATGATGTTATGATGCTTAATTCTCGCGTATGGTAGGTGAGCCTGAGACTCTGCGATACCATAAAATGCACACTATGGGCGATAAAGTGTTGAAGACTAAGCCGAAGCCTGAGGCTGCTCTTGCTGCTAAGCGCCGACATGTGTACGAACTACCTACGACCTAGTTTGGTTTAGTCTTGTCCAATATAGGAAAGCCGTGACCGAGGCCGGAGGGGACAAGGGCCTCCATAAACGTCGGAAGGGTATTGATATCACTAAGGGGGAGACAGTGCTCACAGTCGATGAGGCAGGGGATAATGTATACAGGTAGGAGGATAGCTGCTGGTAGGGTAGAGAGGATGTTGGGCTTTACAGGCCGAAGTCTCGGGCATCAGAGAGGCCTTATGATGAGATGCTATCAGTACTGTCTACAGTACTTGTTGGTGAGACTAGTACTGTCCTGAGGGAGGCGGCCCATGAGATACTCATGGCTTTGAAGTCTGATCAGAAGGATTCATCTAAACAGAAGAACGTTGAAGAGGTAGCAAGGCGAACGCTATATCGCTGGTAATGATACGTATCAGGTGCTTCCCCCGCGATCCTTGACCCCGGAGCTCTATACTCAGCTCTTAAGGCTCTCCCAACAAATCCATGATTTCGCAGTGGATGACGATGAAGAGGGGGTAGCTGAGGCGGGGGGGGAGGATGTTGATGCAGCTCTCCTGGCTGGTGCTGCGGCGGATGATCCGGCAGGTGTTGCTGTCACGTTTGACGAGGATGATGAGAATGATGGTAGTACTACCACTGGGGGGTTTATGATAGGTGATGCTGTGGTTTAGAGATGGGAGGTGATGATGATATGTTGTACGCTGACGAGTGTCTGATGAATCTAGCAGCGACTCGGAGGACTCGGATGCGGATGATAGGATGGAGGCTGGAGGGCGGAGGAGAAGAAGAAAGCGGGGTAGTAGTTAGTGCGATAGGCTTTCATGCGAGAGGTTGCGGGTTCGATCCGCGGGTATGGCATATATTTTTTACAGGCGGTGATGACGATGAGGATACCGGCATTCGCGCTGGTGGGGAAGGTGATGATGCTGACGACGGCCCGGCCTCGAAACGGAGGAACACCTCGAGCACCGACCTGCCAGTTCAGAAGATCCATTCTCATTGGCTGCAGAGGGAACTAGTAGGTCCATACCATTCCTCTTTGTATTCACTTACCTTTGGCAGGGCAAGCGTGTTAAGGATAGCTCTGAGGTCATCGCTGTAGAGAAGTCTATTCTCGATGTCTTGAGGCTGCCTGACTCGCAGAGTGTTGAGAACAAACTCGTACAAATCTTCAAATACAAGCACTTCGATTTCTGCAAGATCCTTGTGAATAACAGAATCAAGATTTGGTATTGCACCAAGATCAACCAAGCACAGACTCCCGGTAGGAGGAGAGGGGCGCCTTGCTCGTGAGGCAGGGTACATGTTGTTGTTGTCATTTTTAGAGGAGCGCAAGTCGCTGGAGAAGGAGATGGAGGAGGACCCAGCTGCGGCTGAGGTCCTTGAGGAATGGAAGATCGCTCATCATCATGAGGACTATAAGAAGCTTGGTGATGCTCTTGATGGTGAAGGAGGAGAAGGAGGAGGCAATAGGAGGAAGCAGCTCAGGTGAGTTGATCTTCTTTGAGCGTATTTTGAGATGTGTATTAGGTCGGAGGCTAGGAAGCTGAAGGAGGGGGAGGAGGAAGCAGCGTCGTCTCTGGGTCATCAGGAGGATGGTGATGTGGAGATGGCCGAGGCTGGGGAGATTCGTGAGGCGGCTAAAATGCCTAATCCATCTAAGTTGGTTGATCTGGACTCGCTACAGCTGCCTGGTGGAGCAAGGTACTGTGGGAGGAATGATTATAGTGCTGATTATATAGGTCTCGGGTTCGATCCCTGGGGGATGTGTTTTTAATATTCCCGCAGGTTCATGAGTAACCAATCATTTGAGCCTGCGAAGAATACTGATGTATTCACATCGAGCCATAAGGGATATGAGGAGGTCGTGGTACAGGCTCCTCCCAAGGCTAAGGTCAAGCAGGAGTCTCTCATTAAGGTAGTATATGTTGTATATGCATAGCAGTGGTAATGATGATGATGATTTTGCAGGTTAAAGAGGCTCTACCCGAGTGGGCTTGTCCAGCCTTCAAGCATTTCGAGAGGCTCAATGCTGTGCAGTCAAAGGTAGGGATGACCTTATGTTAGCAGCTGATGAGTGCCCCCTTCGTTATCTGATATCGCTCGTTGGTTTCAGGTCTTCCCTGTAGCTTATAATGAATTTGAAGAGAATCTTCTTATGTGTGCTCCGACAGGAGCAGGGAAGACCAATGTGGCTATGCTTACTATTATGAACGTATTGAGATCGGCTCTGTTGGTATTGGTATTGCTTTTGATAGGTCCTGAAGCAATATCGTACTGAAGATGGCTTTGATACGAGCGCTTTCAAGATGGTATATATCGCGCCGATGAAGGCCCTTGTGCAGGTATCGAACCTGGGACCTTTCGCTTATTGTCTTGGGAATTTACCGCGCTGCTATTTAGGAAGTGGTGCAATCGTTCTCATTGCGCTTGGGCGACCTCGGCCTTGTTGTGAAGGAGCTCTCAGGAGATCAGTCTCTTAGCCGTGAACAGATCGAGCAGACGAACATAATCGTCACCACACCTGAGAAGTGGGATGTTGTCACTCGTAAGGCTGGCGAGAGCCGAGGCTTCACCGCCTTAGTCAAGCTCATTATCATTGATGAGGTAAGCGTCCTGGTTCATACGAGAGGAAGCATCCTCGACCTCCTGTTTAGATTCATCTGCTTCATGACAATCGCGGCCCTGTACTGGAGGCCATCGTGGCTCGTACTTTGCGGCAAATAGAGCAGACTCAGGAGCATGTTAGGCTGGTCGGTCTGTCGGCCACATTGCCCAATTATAAGGATGTGGCCTTGTTCTTGAGAGTGAACTTGAACCGAGGCCTCTTCTACTTTGGTCAAGACTACCGTCCTGTGCCCTTGGATCAGACCTATGTTGGAGTTAGCTCTAAGAAGGCTATAAAGCGGGCTAATGTGATGAACGAGGTGCTCTTCGAGAAGGTTGAGGCTGATGCTGGGAAGAATCAGATTATTATATTCGTGCACTCTCGGAAGGACACTCTGAAGACGGCTCGCGAGCTGAGGGATATGGCTATGGAGAAGGAGATGCTTGGGAAATTCTTACCAGAGAGCGGCGCCTCGAGACAGATTATCGAAAACGAAATTGAAAATACGATTAAGTCGCCAGATTTGGGCGATCTGTTGAAGTATGGTTTCGGTATACATCACGCTGGTATGGCGAGAGTCGATCGAACTACTGTGGAAGATCTGTTCGCCGATGGCCACATACAAGTGCTGGTGTCTACTCTTACCTTGGCATGGGGTGTTAACTTACCGGCTCATACGGTCATTATTAAGGGCACGCAGGTGTATAGTCCAGAGAAGGGTGATTGGGTAGAGCTGAGCCCGATGGATATGATGCAGATGATGGGTCGTGCTGGTCGTCCTCAATATGATACTACTGGCCATGGTAGGGAGGTCGGTTGCGTCCTTTTACAGTTTTGGAATGTCGGTTTGGTTTCCCTGCATTATAGGCATTTATATACGATTCGGGGTAGAGGTGTAGAAAAGGCTATATTTGCCGAAATTTCGTCAACGTGTGTAGTTGTTAGCCACTAACGTAAAATACAATAATAGTAAAATACGCGCGTTTTTACTACAAATATAATACGTCGATAAGTGAAATATAACATTCTGTTTTCAGGTATCGTAATTACGAACCGTTCGGAATTGCAGTATTATCTCTCCTTGAACAATACACAGCTCCCGATCGAGTCCCAGATGTTGTCAGCTTTACCTGATATGATCAACGCTGAGATGGCACTGGGGACTATAGCCTCTAGGGATGACGCAGTGCGTTGGTTGGGGTATACATATCTGCATGTGAGGATGATGAAGGCACCTCAACTATATGGTGTACCTATGGGAGACGAGGAAGGGAATCCTAGAGATGACCCTAGGCTTATACAGGTGGGAAAGCAATCGCTGTTGATGGTTGAATTGCGTGATGCGCGGTATATGATGTATACTTTATTTTCTGTATGAACTTACTGATCTAGTTGGGTGAATATTCTATTCATTATTAACTTCTTCATTGATGTGTTATGGAAGGAATAAACATAGTCTCAATGTGGTTATTATTATGGACATATAGAGACAAACTGGCAAACATTATTACCAGAATATAGAAATTAATTGAGTAAAAAGTGTAAAATATATTTGCGTACTTCGGAGTTTACTACTGAGTCCGCATGGGTAGTTGGATCATGTCAGCACCGAGTGAATCTGTGCCATGCGGCTATGACTATGTTGGATAAGAATGGTTTGGTGAAGTACGACAAGAGAACAGGGCAATGTCACATTACAGCTCTAGGACGAGTTGCTGCGCACTACTACATCAAGTGAGACTATGTTGTGTGTTTTCATGTTGTGGGAAATTTTCCATAGGTATCCTTCTATGGCTGTATATAATCAGCATTTAAAGCCGCGGATGTCTGATATAGAATTGCTCCGCTTGTTCTCTCTGAGTTCGGAGTTCAAGTATATACCTGTGAGGGAAGAAGAGAAGGTCGAGCTGAGCAAGCTGGTCGAAAAGGTATCTTTAGGTTGACTTGGTAAGATTCAAAGTATGTCCGATAGGTGCCTATTCCAGTGAAGGGAGGTGCTGAGGAGACTGGATCTAAGATCAACGTCCTTTTGCAAGCATACATCTCGAGGTTGCCTCTTGATGGTTTCGCCTTACAAGCTGATATGGTGTAAGTGCGCGGAGTGGCGGCGCTTATTCTCGATTTGATTTGTGCATGCGTGCAGATATGTGGAGCAGTCGGCTGGTCGTATCTTCCGAGCGTTGTTCGAGATAGCCCTTCGTAGGGGGTGGGCTGACCTGGCCAAGAAGGCCCTCCTTTGGAGTAAAGTGGTCGAGAAGAGATTCTGGAGCGTACAGACGCCTTTGAGGCATTTCAAGGAGATTCCGGAGGTACTCGTAGTGGACCTATTCTGTATCTTATTGATTGAACCTCAGGATATTTTGCGCAAAATTGAGAAGAAAGATATCCGTTTCGAGCAGTACTATGACTACAAGCCGCATGAGATTGGTGAACTTCTGAGAGCGCCAAAACTAGGTAGTAAAATTACAGGTCTTGGGGATAGAACTGGGAACCTCTCGCATGGTAAAAGCGGATTATACCATCGTCGTGTCCAGGCAAGCATATATACAAGTACGTCCATCAATTCCCCAAGTTGGACCTAGCCGCCTACGTGCAGCCGATAACTCGTAGCTGTCTACTGGTGGAGCTTACCTTGACTCCGGACTTCCAGTTCGATCCGAAGGTGATACAATTAATCAGTGTGGGAAAATATACGTGTTGGTGACAATATGGAAATTCTGAGGAAATTTTTTGGAAATTCTCAATGGTTTCGGTGCACTCCTACCGCAGCTCGGATTTCAACGGTTAGTGAGGAAAGTTCTGAGCTCAGCTGAGGGAAGGGAATATATATTCCTCCGACACTGGGGTGAATGGTGACAGTCGAATTCATGCATAGGTACATTCCTCCACAGAGCCTTTCTGGATTTTCGTGGAGGACACACAACAGGAGACTATACTCTACTATGAGTTGTTCGTGTTGAGGCAATCTCAAGCTGACCAGGAGCATACGCTCACCTTTACAGTGCCTATTACGGATCCTATGCCCCCACACTACTTCATCAGATGCGTATCGGACAGGTAGCATGAGGCGCACAGGGAAGGATATGCGTATTGTATTGTATTTAGGTGGATTGGGGCGGAGTCTCTGTTGCCGGTGAACTTCCGTCGGTTGATATTGCCGGAAAGGAATCCCCCGGAGACGGAACTACTTGATTTGATGCCGTTGCCTATCACTGCATTGAAGTGGCCTAAGGCTGAGCAAGTGTTCTATGGCGCGAGTAGGGGGAGGAGTGGTATGGAATATGAATTTTCATTTTTGTTGTCTTTGTCAGCTGGCAAGTTGAATCCGATACAGACACAGACTTTCACTCAAATGTTCCAAAGTGATGACAACACGTTGCTGTGCGCCCCGGCTAACTCGGGTAAACTGCAGTGTGCTGAGTTTGCTATATTGAGAATGCTAAAGGAGTATGAGGTAATGGAGGCGAAGCGAAGCGGTTTTTGTTTGCCATTTTCCTCTATCAGATCAAACGGTGTGTTTATATGTGTCCATTCGAGCGGCTTGCCGAGTTGAGGTTGACCGAGTGGCAGAAGAAGTTTGGCGTGGATGGATTGGGATGTGTCGTGACTAAGCTTACTGGTACGTGGGGCCTAGGTCTCTGGTGCTTGTGATGATGGTTATTGTGGTAGGAGAGGCCTCGCAGGATCTCAAGCTACTGGACTCATCACATATTGTGATTACAATACCTGAACATTGGGATATGATATCGAGGAGATGGAGAACTAGGAAGCCGGTCCAGCAGGTAGTAGGGATATGGGCCTGGTTTGTATCTTGCATGTGGGAACCTAGGATATGCGTGTTGGTGTAGGTGTCTCTGTTCATTGCTGATGATTTGCATTTACTCAACCATCCGAGAATCGGCGCCACTATGGAGGCTTGTGTATCGAGAATGAGGTATGCATGTGGAGTTGCTCTCGGGGGAATATTGCCATACCACTCGCCAGGTACATCACCTCAAATCTGTCGGCTCAAGCTTCGGAGAGCGGTGAGGCCTTCAAGCCATGCAGGATTATCGGGTTAGCGGCATCGATTTCGGTATTATGGGTATTCTTTTCTCTGATGGTATATCCTGAGGCTGCCATGGACGAGGTCGCGGGTTCAAATCCTTGTTACTGTATTTTATGCTTGTTTAGAATGCCAATGATCTCGGTGGTTGGATGGGAGCTCCAGTGTCCTCTCAATTCAACTTCCCCACCAAGATCCGCGCTGTGCCAGTTAAGGTCATCATCCACGGCTATGATATCTACAGTCGGAACGCTAGGATGGCTGCTATGACCAGACCTACGTGATAATAGCGGAGCGAAGCGATTCATGTATGGCATTTTTATGTGTAGTTACAACCTTATCAAGGCTAACTCTCCCTCTCAACCGGTGGTGGTATTTGTCGGTGATCGTCGACAGAGCCGTATGGTGGCGGCTGACCTCATGCTCCAAGCTACTGCTGATAACAGTCCCGATAGGTAGGCTGGGGCTACACCGTGGGAGTATCTTGTACATGCGTGCAGATTCCGTCATTTGTCTGAGACAGCGATGAAGGAGCACATTGAAGGGCTGTCGAAGGAGTATGGTTGGAGGACTCGAGAGCGGGGTTTGGTTACATCGTTGATGCATGGTATTGGCTACATGCATGAGGGGCTGAGCAACAAGGAGAGAGATGGTCTAATGGAACTGTTCGAGAGCGGTGCGGTTCAGGTAGACATCGAAAGGTCCCGGGTTCGATTCCCGCTTGTGACGTTTTTGTTCAGATCATGGTAGTGACGGTAGATCTTGCGTGGGGTCTATTGCCGCAGACTCATAATGCAGGGTGTAGGATGGTGGTGGTTATGGACACTGTTAAATACGATGCAAGGTGAGGACGGATAGTTCGTGAGTTCGATCCCGGCGATGTGAATTTTAATCAGACAACGACGTTATGTGGACTATGATGTAGCCGACGTGGTAGAGATGATGTCCATTGCTGGTCGACCGGGCATTGATGATCATGCAACGTAATTCTATCGGGAGCAGCTGAGCGAAGCTAGTATCATTCTGGATTTTCAGATGCGCTCTACTCTGTCCCACTACTAAGAAGGATTATTATAAGAAGTTCATATACGAGCCCATGCCCGTCGAGTCACAGTTGGATCAGAAGTTGACGGATCATCTCAATGCTGAGGTCGGTTCTGGTTACTGAGTCTTGCTGAGCTCATATAAAATTACTGAAAAAATGCACCTGCCGGGACTGGAACATGCGGTCAGTAACGGCATGATGGGATTGTGGTTAGGTTGTGTCGGGCACGATTGAGAACAAGCAAGATGCAGTTGATTGGCTCACTTGGACCTTCTTCTACAGGAGGATCACTCGTAATCCGAATTACTACTCATTACAGGTAAGATGATTTTGGCGGAGCGAAGCGATTTTTAATTACCATTTTAGGGTGTATCACCTCAAGAGATTTCCGACTTCTTATCGGAGATTATAGAGTCAACATCAGACGCGCTCGCCCAGACAGGGTGCATTGAGATTGGCGAGGATGAGATCACTCTGAGCAGCACCAATCTTGGCATGGTCGCAGCGTAGGTTCATGGGTTAATCGCTGGGGCTCCACAAGTGGTGAACTCCGTTTTGAAATTTGATGGGTTTGGAATGTCGGTTGTGCTCAGCCCTTGGTGTGGTAAAGGTCTCCGGGTCGAATCCCAGGCTTGGTATTTTTTAATGCAAAAATTATGTACCGCATGGGTATTTTATTATTCACTGACTATACCCAGCTATCTCGCTGTGTTAAAATTCTTCCTGGGAGAAAAAATAACGCACGCACACACGCTCGAAATGGTCGCTGCCCCCTCCGTAGTGATGTCCCAATGGTTCGCCGTTATGTAGGTATTATTACACTCGTCCATCGACCATCGAGATCTTTTCCCGGAATATTACACGCACGAGTAAACGTCGTGCTCTGGTTGAAGCCCTTTGCGGTGCTAGTGAGTTCGAGTCGATTCCAGTTCGACCTGGTGAAGAGGGAACACTGAGGGCCTTGGCTGAACGGCTGAAGGTAAGGAGTGTTTTCGTTATTGATGTTATGGTATCTGAACTGTGTGTGATGCAAGGTACCAGTTGAGACTGGCAAGCTGAAACAGGGTGATCCAGCAGTGAAGTGTGCTATTCTCTTACACGCCCACCTCGCGAGGCAAAGACTCCCAGGGTCTGACCTTGCGGCGGACCAACGTACGGTGCTGCTCAACTCTACCAGGCTTATACAGGCTATGGTTGATGTGGTTGCTAGTCACGAATGGTGAGTATTCATTACGGGGATTGTGATTTAGCGCGCGCCCGAGTGATCGATATTGTTTAGGTACCGAGTGGCACTTCGTGCGATGGAGTTATCGCAGATGGTTGTACAGGCGATGGGCCCTGACACCAGTCTGTTGATGCAGTTACCGTATATTAATCAGGACATGGTCGAGGAGGCGAAAAAGATGGGGGTAGGAGAGGCGGAGCGACGCGCGTGAAGTAGCGGAATTACGGTATGTGTATTAGGTTGAGGATGTCCTTGATATTTTGGATTTGGATGACGATAAACGCAATAAGCTATTCCGGGATCTGTCGGAGTCGCAAGTTGCCGAGGTCGCCCAAGCTTGTAATCAGTTCCCGAGTATCAATATGGAATATAAAATCAACAAATCTAAGGACGGGAAGACTGTTACGGTAGGCTCTCGTGAATTCTCATGCTTCCTTTCACTCTGTTTTCTCAGATCCCTGTGGTGCTGGAGCGTGATGGAGATCTAGGAGTGATTGATAAAACTGCTGGGTTCGTACCGGTATATGCTAAGTAGGGCGGTGGTTAGATGTAGTAGTATGATGATGATGGTGATGGTGTTGATAGGTATTACCCTGGAGAAAAGGAGGAGTCGTGGTGGCTAGTGGCTGGTATGAAGGATAGTTTAGTGGCTATCAGGCGTGTTACTATCAATAAGGCTCAAGTGAAGGCGAAGTTACAGTTCAGGTTGCCAGAGAAACCTGGCAAGTACAACTATACATTGTAATATTAGGATGCTGGGTGGCGAGATGTGGTAATGACGATGCAGGTGTTTGATGAGCGATAGCTTTATGGGGGCAGACCACGAGTATGAGGTCGAAGTCACTGTATGAGGAGAGGTAGTCTATACTCTTTATTAACCAATGGCTCAAGTACGTTTACATAGTAAATGATAATGTGTTGTGTTTGGGAGCTGGTGTATGAGGCGCTATGGTTGTTGTTGTTGTTCCTGATATGAGTACCATGGACCAGAACGGTGGGCTGATCGCCTCAGCTCCACCAGCTAAGAGGCAAGCTTATCCGATACCGGGAGGGAATGGTCATGAAACTACATTGGCGACACCTGAGGAAAGGCTCAAACACATACAGAATGCCCAGATGAAGGTTCTCAGTAATAAGAGGAATTTTGTGGCGCGCGGTCAAGGCTGGTGAGTTTTCAGGTGATCGTGATACGTATGTTGGTATGCAGTGGAACCCAGTCAATGATACACCATTGGGTATTGGCACTCAGCCGGATAGCTACTGTCCCGAGTTGGATCAGTATGGTGACGATGCTGCTATGAATGCGGCTCGGTTCCTGCCAAAGAACGTCAGAAACAGAATCGTTAAGTATCTTGAAGGTAGTATTGATGATGAGCAATTTCGTGGCGCGTGACGGAATTTGGGAGTGGTGACTGAGTCACTGGTCAGAGGTGTGGTGACCCGAAGGCCTCGTGCGCGTTGCACTCAGCGGCGAGGTCTCAGGGTAATATTTGAGGTAGAAGTAGAGAAGGAGTGGTATGGAATATTACTTCAGATGGAACACTCCGCCCTGGCGAGCTAGATTTGAAGTGCGTTGTAGTAATGCAGTCCCTTTCGCCGGAGCTTCTATTAAAGGTTATGGACCATCTAGATGCTGATCGGTAAGGGAATAGTTTAGGGGGGAGGGCGGAGCTATAGACTCCATTCTAGGCTTGCTATTGTGATATGATTACCTTCATTGAATTGGTATGGTGATGTATATTTCAGGGCATTTTTCCTAAACGCTCACTCGAAGGCTGGGTTCATCATATCGACCTGTGATAAGGCTAAGAGGGGGGAGTTGGATGTTCGTGGCTTTGGAGCGATTGACCCTTGGCGAGGCCACATGCGGGATCTCTGTATTAGACGCCCTTTGGGGGTGGACCTGTTGTCTGAGGATGATTGGATTACTAGGAAGGGTAGTGAAATGGGAAATCGATCAGGTGATCGATTTGGTGTTAGGTGAGACTCTATCACTTCAAATTATACAGAGGATTCCAGCGGCGATACGTCATAAGGGCCAAGTGTCGCCTAATAATATCGTCATTGACGACTTGAGCATGCGTATGACGATTGGGCAATTGAAGGCTATGCTGGAGGATAAGGCTCAGGGATGGAAGCCTGGTGTGATGAAGCTCATTGTGAGGGAGACTGGTGTACTCAAGTAAGTTTTAATAAATGGGTAAATTATTCCGATCCTCCAATCGTTGATGTTGGAGGCTGATCCACAAAATGATGGTTTGTACTCTCCAGCATCTGGCATGCTGCCAGGAGTTGAACGAGGTGTGGTATTCGAACTAAACGTGTTTAGAGCGTTAATGCAGCGTTGATATGTCATGTGTATGGCGCTAGTGATGTTTACTTTGTCGTTTATCTCAGTGATAACAGTAAGACTATAGCCTATTACAATCTCTCCTCTGGAGATCGTATACGCCTGAAACTGAAGAAACGTGGTGGCATACGTATTAATAAATGTAATCGAGTTAAGGAGACCAAGAAGAGTCACGCTGAGGAGGGGGATGATGATGATCAAGTCGAGGAGAAGAAGGAGACTATACAGAACGACGTACAACAACAACAAGCCAATGGAGTTATGGCACCATCGCCACCACCGCCTCCGAGTGAGTAGTTGGTCCAGTAAGTTATCGATTATCTGGGCGCGCGCTACTTGCATAGAGGCTAATATGGTGTAGATCGATACTTGTGTATTTTTTCTTTCTCGGTACTGGGGATAGACGAGGGTGAGTTGAGTTAATTCAATGAGGAGCGGTATTATATTTGAGGGAGTAGCGTTTCAGTGTCTTTTGGACTTGCCTAATGAGGCGTCCGACTCGGCAAGGTGTAGAGGAAGTATTGGCCGCTATGGCTGAGTGGACTGCCTATAGGTAGGCCGTAGAGAGGGTCATCATCAGTTGTATCCAATACGGGTATGCTCATGTTAGGGCAGGAACTTGGTGTCAAGGAATTATGATGGTCTATGATTTCTATGATACTGCTATTGCATACGTGTAGGCTATACATGCGTGCGATAGTAGAATTATAGATTGTCCTTACTTTGCTCATGTTAGCTGCCTTGGGAATGGTTGACTTAGTGATAGAGATGCGTAGATGGACTCTGTCGAGGGGTTCCAACAGGGAAGTGCTAAGATGTCGTTAGCGAGCTTCGAACCCGGGTGAGATGAATCGTATGTCCGTTCAGTGCGTTTAAGGGTTGTGAA